CATCTTCAGGCTTGTGTCTTCAGCTCTGTGCTTCTCAGAGCCGAAGACACAAGCCTGAAGATGATGAATGAGACTTCATCGAAATGTTGCCTAGATACTTCCAATTTTATACGGGAGAAAACCCAAATAACCAAAGATCCACATACAAATACCCACGAGAACCTCAGAAAGCACACACACACACACACACACACACACACACACACACACACATATATATTCTCTATCTTCTTATTTTCACCCTCTTCTTTCTCTTCTCTCTCTTTTTCTCCTTCTCTTCCTCCTCCAACCCCTCCTCCCCCACTCCTCTTTCTTCTTCTTCTCCTTCTTCCTCTTCCTCTTCTCCTCTGTTTCCTCTTTCTCACTCTTTCTTTCTCTCCCTTTCTTCTTCTCCTTCTTCTCATCTATCACTTCCTCATCTATCTCCTCCTCTTCTTCTCTTTCTCCTTCTCATCTCTCTCTTCCTCCTCTTTTCTCTCTCTCCTTCCTCTCCTTCCCAACTAGTGTTTCCATGCACCAGTTGCACAAGCCATTCAAAGGAGGCTGGTGATAGGGGTAGAAAGACTCCATAACCCATAACCGGAAACTGCCCTCCCCTTCTCTGCCAGTGCTGCCCTTAGTCCAGCCACTCAATTACCTGACCATCCATCACATTATATACCCACCCTGCTTTCTTATCCCTGTCAGGTCGAACGAGCGTGTGCCAAGTTCTGTGGGTCACACTTACTTGCCACGGGGCATGGCGGGTTCCAGCACCCGATATTGGTCCATGATTTTCTCGACCAGTTTTTGCTTCTCTCGACGTAATTCGCCTAATTTGTCTCTGTGGGAAAGAGAATGGGGTGGATTCCAGATTGGAAGGCTCTCTACAGAACTGTATGGTCAGAAGGGGCTTGGAAAGTCATCTAGTCTAACCCCCGTTGGTGCAGGGAATCTGCTTCGGTGGAGAAGGAGCTGAGAACTAAAGTTTGTACCGCAGTTGATGTTTCAACTGTTAGATATTGGACGAAAACTGCCTTATTGGGGGAAATACAGGTAGTGTCAACTCATAAGGTATTCCTAGGCCTGTTTTGGTAGTTGCCATTAAAAAAAAAAAAGGGTGGGGGGAGGAAGAACATCTGGAAGAGCAGTGCAGCAGTTTGGAAGCGAAAGTACATTCCAACTCTTATCTTTAAAAGATTGTAAATAAAATACCAGAGCTTTTGCCTGTGAAATAAATAAATAAATAAATATGAGTGTGTGTGTGTGTATGTGTGTGTGTGTGTGTGTGTGTGTGTGTATGTATATATGTATATGTTTTCTGAGGTTCTCGCGGGTATTTATATGTGGATCTTTGGTTGTTCGGGTTTTCTCCCGCGTAAGATTCGAAGTATCTAGGCAACGTTTCGATGAAGTCTCATTCATCATCTTCAGGCTTCTGTCTCCGGCTCTGTGCTTCTCAGAGTGATGTGAGATTGCAGCTGCTTCTTCCTTTTAACTGCTAGTGGGGGTGGGACTTGATTGGGTGGGGGCTTGGCTGTGTTCTGATTGGGTGGGGGTGTGTTCTCATTGGTAGGGGGTTTGGCTGTGTTCTGATTGGTTGGGGGGTTAGCCGTGTTCTGATTGGTTGGAGGCATGTTCTGTTCAGGTGGGGGCTTTGTTGTGCTCAGGTTAGTCTTAGTTGCTGGGGGATTTGAGCTGGTGAGCTGTGATCCTGCTGTTTGGCTTCGAGTTTGTGGTCATGCTGCATCCCCCACTCCCCATGAAAAATATCATGGAGGGAACCAATGGTTGAATGGAGTTGCTGCGTTTTTTTGCTCGAGCCGCGGCCATTTTGGGCCAAACTCACTGGTACTGACGCTGCTCCTCCTGAAATTGCTCCCGTTTTTCCATGCTGCGCTCCAACAGCTGCCTGTTCTCCCTGCTCAGCAGCTGGATCTCCAGGAGAAGGTGCCGGTTCTCTTCCTCCTGCTTGCCCTTCAACTGGACCAGGAGCTGCAGAGAAGAATTGGAGTGGTCCCGTCACCGAAAGGACCATCGCCGAGGAACCTTGGATATCCAGGTGATTAGCAACAGCAACAGCAGTTAGGCTTATGATACGGCTTCACGATGCTTTCCAGCCCTTTTTAAGCGGTTTACGGTCAGCCTCTTGCCCCCCCCCCCCGCAACAATCTGGGTCCTCGTTTTACCCACCTTGGAAGGACAAAAGGCTGAGTCGGCCTTGAGCCAGTTGGTCAGGATTGAACTGCTGGCAGTGGGCAGAGTCAGCCTGAAATACTGCATTCTAACCATTGGGAGGGAGGGAGGGAGGGAGGGAGGAAGGAAGGAAGGAAGGAAGGAAGGAAGGAAGGAAGGAAGGAAGGAAGGAAGGAAGGAAGGAAGGAGAGAGAGTTGGAAGGGACCTTAGAGGTCCTTTAGTCCAACAGGGAGGGA